AGAAAAGTAAAGCTTCCAAAGAAACTAACGTAGATGGTGAAATTCATCTAGGTCGCTGGCGTCATATGGTAGGCTCATGGTGGCCAGACGGTACCAGGCCCTACTGATTTTCGCAGCAACTTTATGAATTTCTCGACAGCATGCCTACCGTAGTGCTCCAGATTAAATTCTTTTTCGGCATCCTTTCACAATAGTAATTGATAGGAATTGATTTACGGAAATTTCTTTAGATTTTCGTAAATAACGAGCTCTTTGGCACATTTGAACATCGCACTCCGTATCCGACTACGGACTACACTGGAATGAGAGTTGAAGGCGAGGTCGATGTTACCAAAGTCGTGCTTGACTAATCGATACCGATCAATAATCGTTAATCAAATCATATGCACGTTGATGTGTTGACCAAGTTATTCGTTATGTTTCGAAATCATCAAATTTCATTTTGTGGCGAGGAGTTGCTGACCTTATCGTTTATTTTTTTAATCGTCCGAAGACGAAAATGCATGAAATAAAAAGTTTTTATTTTCAAGCATCGCTTATTTTGCTGTGAAACAATTTGCTGCATCTTAATTCGTCATATCTTGATTTGTCAAGATGTTACAAAAATTTCAGAACATTATGATTATTCTTAGTTTGCTGACTGAAGATGAATCTGTAGTAGGAAAGAGCAGAATGCTATTTAGCTTGGGAATGCTAACCCTATAAGTGTGTTTCTTGATAATTTGCGGATATCGAGCACTCATCACAGTAGAAAATTTGTTCTTTACCGGCACTATTCGTTAAACTTGCATCGTAAAAATTCATTCGACATCCTATTTCTTTCAGTACTTTTAGGCGGTAATTCTGGAATTAAGAAGTGGGAAACACTTTGCTTGATAAATCCTCTTCGAAAAGAGTTACCTTTTTTGTCCTCGTCCTCTTCCCAATGGTCCGGTCTAACTTTGTCTCCATCACGAACCATTGTTATCACTCAAAGTCCCACATCGGCGTCTCTCATGCAATGTAATTTGCAATTGCGATATCTGCAATTTTTTAGTTTCAATCATCATTTTTATCAAAAATCCTTAGTCTGGGACTTCATTGTCATTACCTTG